CTCTGGCGGGCGCTCCTGTCCGGGTCTCAACAGCGGGTCCCCAGCGCCGGGCCGCGTCCTTGGGGTGTCCGGCTCAGCTGAGCCGCTTCCATTAAGGAGAGCAGCGCACCGTGAGCAGCAGTGAAGCCGACGACGTTGGGTAGAAAGGAGCCCTGGGCCACACCGGCAGGGCTTGGGTCCAGGAGCCAGCGACGCGAGGCTTCAGGTGCCTGGCAGACCCAAGACTGAGGGCGACCTGGGACGCGCGGGTCAGCAGCGAGCACCTCGCCTGTCTTCAGGAAGTAGAGGTGAGCTTTGGGCTTTCTAGGAGGGATCCTAGCTACGGGTCTGTGCGGGGGTCGGTGGGGATTTACTCGTCCTTGGAGGCTGAGCCATCAGTCTGGGGGTGGTTCCACCAGCCAACGGCGCCCAGGAATGGGGTGGGGGTATCTCCAGAGCCAAAGGAGGCACGAGTTGTCCGCACATCCAAGAGAAAAATTCAAGGGCATAACCTTTGGGATCCTCCAACCCTGGCCCAGGTAAGCAATGGGTATGGGGGAAATTCCCTACTCTCCTTCAAGACCTCCGCCTTAGTGATGGTGCCCTGGATTTCCATCTTTGTGCCCTTGTCCTTCTGGTCCCTTTGCCGAAGACGCACTTTCACCCAGCAGAATCTGATAGCAATACTTGAACTGACAGAGTCATGCCGAGAAATAGCAGCGTCTGAGTTTCTCTGCAGAGGTTCACATTTGGTCGTGTGGTAGAGGAAGTGTTGTGTGAGGGAGATGTGAGCGGAATGTGATGACTGCCAGTAATAGTATAAGACACTGTCGCCTTCTAGATCAGCACTGATCTGGGCCGGGAGCGTGAGTGTTTTGTCCCCACCGGTGACACCGTGCTGTACAGGCAATACCTATAAGGTCCAATTTGCATTCAGGACGCCACTCCAGTTGCAGCAGGCTGAAAGTAACAATGCACAGAAGTGTTCTATCCATACATTTTAAAGCAGTAATATTTTATGATGTGGTGCTATTCTAATTGGATCATTCTATGTTGTTTGGATTACTCTAAATAAATGAACAAATAAAGTCCTCAAAATTACAATGACTTTTTCTCCTCCCCGGAAAAAGACACATCCAGTGAGCTATACACTCAGTAACTTCTACACACAGTATCAATAATCTAGGCGCTACGGAATTAAACAGGCATACCCTTTCCTATTATTAAATGTAAAATAGACCAGAGCTCAGTCCTAGACCTCCTGGGGGGGCTGAGAGGGTCACCGAAGCAAGGCAGTGTGCAGCTAGGGGCAGCCGCGGGGCTGGGGGGTTCCGCGCTCTAGGG